CAAAATTAAGAAAGATAAAATTAATAGGAAATCAACCAATAAAATGGCGCCATGTGGGGAGGTTGTAGGCAGGTCCTGCAATCCAAGTTGCAGGTAAATATCATCCTTTCAATATGACAAGGAACACAAGTGACTTATAGGACAAGCAATTGAAACCATGGATGAACGATTGACTTCAGCACCAAGAACTCCAACGCTCCCACCACAAACAAAGACATGTCTATAGAGCATGCCAAACTTGGAACAAAGATGATGAAACTGCTTAACACCGGGGCGTTTAGCGAGGAGATAACCGGTTGCTCTAGGGTGGCAATCTTACGAGGAGCCACATGAGCAGCTTGAACACGTTCTAGGATAAAGTAACAGTCAATTTCAACGTGTTTGGTGCGGTCATGAAAGACAGGATTAACATAGATACGAAGAGTGGATTGATTGTCACAACACAAAGGAGTGAGACCAGTTTGAGGACAACCAAGATAAGTTTACTAATTGTTGTAGCCATGACGTGATACTCTGCTTCAACAAAAGAATGAGAAATCACATACTATTTTCTTGGTGTGCCAATAAATGAAAAAACACTCATATAGGTAAAGTAGCCCGTAGTGAAACGCTGAGTAGTAGGACAACTAGCCTAGTCAGCATCACAATAATGGGTCAAACTAAGGGATAAACCAGTAAAAACACCTAAATAGGTGTTATTCGACTTCTTAATCTTAGGTGTTTCCATGTCATTTTGAGCATTAATGAGCTTTGAACCCATGGTGTAGTCTAAATTTGTTCCTAGCATTTGCATTGTGCATTATCAGTTGGCATCATGAGTTTCAAACGTATACGACGAAGAAGGAAGGGCGAGTGTAGGAAATGAGGTAAATCCGAGTGCATGTACAAAAGAGATAGATCACGGTCGGGGAGAGCCAGGCTGTGAATAAGATCACGAGATTCGCAAGAGATCATGGTGGGAACTGGGAATTATGATCCTTAGGCCATAATCTCGTCAGTGTTGGTGAATTCTATAAATAGAGGAGTAGTCCTCTAGAGTTGGAGAGAAATTTTTGAAGAGATGAAACCCTATAGACAGAGTAGAGAGAAGGAGCCTATAGGAGAAGAAGTAAAACTTGAAATGAAGAAGATGAAGGCTTGAAGAGAGAATTTTCCAACAACTTGGGGTTTTTTTTGTGATGATTTTCCTTCCCTTTTCCTTGTTCTCTTCCCCCTACATAGGATTATTTATTAAAGATACTTAATGCTAAGTCCCCCAAGTCCTAATTCAAGGTTTAGTATGTAATGAATGATGTTTATTATCTATGGTTGGATTGAGCTTAATTAGTGTCCTCAATGCTTCAAATCATGATTTATGTTCATCTCATGTAGAATATGTCTGCATGTGTTTGCCATGTTTTAATTTGATGAAATAGAGACTTGGCTTAGGTTGTGATGGCCACTCCCTTATGTTGACTTGACTGCTCACCTAATTGATGCCTCTTGATTCTTGAACATTTATATGGCCATTGAATCAAAGCGGATATCATTTTGAAGATCACAATTTATCTGATTTGTCTGTAAAAAAAATCAAATTATGATTTAAAACAAAAATATATAATCCATTGAAATTTATATAAAATAATAATAATGATGTAACGTATGAATGGGCAGCTCTCCCGCTTTTGGTGGGCGAGCCAGGACAAAGACAAAGGTATCCACTGGGTATCGTGGCCGGCCATTTGTGTTAGCAAGTTTCGGGGGGGGGGGGGGGCTGGGCTTCCGAGATTTCGACTTGTTCAACATAGCTATGCTGGCAAAGCAAGCTTGGAAGCTGCTGTCTTCTCCTTCTTCCACTCTCGCCCAACTTTACAAGGCCAGATATCACTCCTCCTGTGACTTCCTACGCGCCCCAGTTGGAAATCGGCCGTCTTGGGCATGGCAAGGAGTTCTACAAGGCCGGACACTACTTCTCAAAGGATTAAGATGGCAGGTGGGTTGTGGCTCATCTATCCGGATTCTTGAGGACCCTTGGCTGCCATCGTCTCCGCCTTCCACCCCCTCCCTTCGCCCAGGTATGAGTTTGCCAAACCCCTTTGTGGCTTCGCTTATAGATCCTCTAACGCGATCGTGGAATCAGCAGCTTCTCCATAGTCTCTTTACCCTTGACAGCATTAATTTGATCCTCTCTATCCCCATTCCGCTGTCACCTAAGCCGGATCGCCTGATTTGGCACTTCTCGGAAACTGGTTTGTATACTGTCAAGTCAGGATACCATGTTCTTTCCGATGAACGGGCTGAGTTATTTAATACCTTACCCTCTCATCTGGATTCTCGATTTTGGAAAGTTTTATGGAGCCTGCCGGTGCCGCAGAAACTACGGGTATTCTTGTGGCGGAGTGTGCGTGGCTTCTTACCCTGCCGGGCCATTCTCAAAGCTAAGACTCTCTTTGCCACTGATTTGTGCCCAGTTTGTTCAAATGCGATTGAAACCATTTCACACTGTATGTTTGACTGCAGGGTAGCACGGGAAGTGTGGGATTTGGCGGGTAAGTCACAGCTGCGGACAATAGTTGCAGCGGTGCCGGCTGATCTAGCATGGTCCCAAATATTGTCATCTCTGCACCTCAGCAAGCTTGAGATGGCTGAGTTGGTTTTTCTCTCCTGGCGCGTCTGGAAAGCCCGCTGCTGGGCTTGCTATGATGGTGTGCAATACTTGGCTGGCCCCCTGGTTAGGCAATTTCGGCAGCAGCTTGAAGAGTGGCGTGGAGCTACCTCAGCGCAGGCGATCTCCGGAACTAGTCGACATCGTCAAGCTCCTGCGTCGAACATAGCCACATGTCCTCAGGATGGGATGTTGATCCGATTCGATGGAGCAACACGTCAGGGCGTGGGAGGCAGCATTGGGTTCGTTGGCTTCTCCCCGGCGGGTGCGTTAACCTGTGCACACGGTAAGTTCTATGTCGGCCTATTTGATCCATTTCTAATGGAACTTCTAGCATTAAGGGATGCAATGGACTGGTGCTTAACCCGGGGAATTTTTTCTGTTTGCTTTTGTGGGGATTCGCAATTGGTGATTCGGCGAGCTTCGGAGGATATACTGGATCACAATCGCGGCGGGGCGATACTTGAAGAAATCAAATTGCTGAAAGCATCCTTCGCGTTCATTCGTTTTGTTTTTTCTCCCCGTAGAACTAACAAGGCTGCCCATTGCGTGGCGAAAACAGCTCTTGCATCGGCTAATCAACATATGGCTGATTTCCGTTATATTCTTTTTAATTCTGTGTAATGCCCTATCTAATACATTCTACCTTAGCCAAAAAAAAAAAAAAATGATGTAACAGTAATATGATAAATTATACATGCTTTTTGACCACAAAATTATTCACTCATGAATGGCCTTCCGCCTTGCTTAGGAAATGGGCGAGTGATTAGTTTCCTTTTGTTTTTATTAATGCAAAAAGGGATAATATATGAATGATGTAGAGAAAAAATAGTTGCATTATATTGCAGTGCTTTTCGATTACTTTTATTTTTAACGGCATAGTCGCATAGAGAAAAGTGAAAGCTGAGAAAGCAAAGCACATGCCTAAAGAAGAAGCCTCAATTGAACTTTGTGACTGACTGTTACCGGAGGAACATAGACGTTATTTGCAAATTGCAACCAGTAGTTATTCTTTGCTTTGTCCGTCCGACTGATCCTTTTCTCATTGATTGGAGACCGACTCTGTACAAAAGTTCCAAATAAGGATCGATCTCTACAACTGGTTATTTGGTCCACTACCCCACTTCGATGCTCTGATACAAGGTTGGAAGTTTTGTAGCAGAATTTGGAATATAATAATTAATATTGTACTAGATTTGTCGATATTTGGTATCTCATAATAAACATATTATTTTGTGGGATTGATCTTGATGTTGAATTTCAGGTGCTATTTGGTATTACAGATTACGAGATTGTGATTGAGATTTATATTATATCAAAATGTCGATGAATGCCAAATATAAGTTGTTGAAACCAGGTAGCTCCATCAGTACACTACTGTCCGCTATATGGCAAGCCTGTACGAATTTACTTTTGAGTATTCTTCCCAAAAAACCTCGTACAAATTGACTAGGTGGACATTCATATGCACGTGAGTCTTCTAATTTTGTAGGGTGAGTTCACCGAAATATTGCTTTGAGAGGATTCCTGGATAGACAGTATAGCACTTCTTTTGATCTATTGTTGGGTGAGAAAAAACCACACAAAATTTGTCATGATGAAACTGTCACCCCAACGATCATGGCAAAAGCGTGCATGGTGAGTTGAGAGTTGTGTCTTCGTCTCTCTTTGCTGTTTCTTTCTCTTCTTCCCAATTGAGGAGGGTCTAACTCTAACTGGTCATTAGTTTAAAAGAGGAACATGCATAATACGTATATGTTTATCAATTGTTTAGAATATTTTCAGTAACAAACTCCATAAAATAAAATAAAATAAAAACAGGAAGGACAACAAACATTTTAGTAAAACAGATGTGACCTAAACCATATTAGGGCTGGCTATTTGGTCCAGGTTTTTTTGGTTTTACCCGAAATCGGATCGTATAACTCGGACCGAGACCGAACCGGGACCGGATAGTAAACAATCCAATTCAATTTTTGAGCTTAGATTTGAGGTAAAAAACCCGTTCGGGACCGGATCGAAAACTGAATAAAGACCGGATAAGAGAGCTCAACACCCAAAACTTAACGGTAATTTGCATAAACGGTCACAAACATTTGCACTTAGCACAAAATTTAACCAGTACTCCTCACCCTTTCAGACCTTAGGTCACTCAAATCCCCACAAGCTCAATATAAAATCAAGACCAAATTGGGACCGGACCGGATCAAAAGACCGGACTGTATCCAATCCAATCTTTGGTCCTTATATTTTCAAAAAGACCGCGGACTGGACCGGATCAATTTGGACCAATTTAACCGAACCGGACCGTATAGCCACCCCTTAAACCATATATATAAATATATGGGCAGTAACCCTAATAAAAAGAGAATGGAGGGATAGCATAGCAAGGTAAGGTTGATCAGAGGGAACAATAATGAAGACTCATCATCAACATCATCATCATCACGATATAGTGATTGTTGGAGGCGGAATTTGCGGCCTTGCCACTGCCCTCGCTCTTCACCGGAAAGGCATACGAAGCACGGTGATAGAACGATCGGAGACACTGAGAGCCGCCGGAGCAGGCATCATCGTCCACGAAAATGGGTGGAAAGCACTCGAGTTGCTGGGTGTTGCCTCAACCCTCCGACTCCAAACACCCATTTCCATCACATCGTAAGTATCCATCCGACGGCTTCTCCTCGTCCTGCGTTTTTTTTTTTTTTGTGTGTTCCCTCTCACTCTCGAAATCATGCTAATAAGTAAAGCTCAATGCATGAATCCAGAGGGGAAGTTGTTTCCGTGAAGGACGGCAAACGAGAATCCGTGCCATCCTGGTAAACACTCAATAAATAACCACGACTACGCGATCCACGAAGCCATAGAGAATAATATGATAATGTTTTCCAGGGGAGAAGTTCGGGCGATAAGACGGAGCGATCTCATCGGCACCTTGGCCAGCGAGCTGCCGGCGGACAGCTTTCTGCTGGGATGCAAGGTGGTCGGGGTCCACTTCCATCCCACCACTTCCGAACCACTGCTTTACCTTCACGACGGAACTGTGATTCATGCCAAGGTTGATTAATTATTATTCCGCTAAAACACTAATTAACAATTATATTAATGTGGGTGGTCGTCACTTCTATCGTACGTATACAACCCTAATTAAAGGCTTGGCCTTGTCCCGGTCTGAAGGAATAAGAAAGTAAACCTTGTAAAGAAGCAGGTAGGAGAGGTAGCCTACAGACTCGAGCGATCCGCTCGGTGAAACCTCTCTGAGAAATCGGTCCTTTTACAGGGGTACAGATTTGCTAACTGTTCAATTAATGCAGTCTTATGTTTGAAATTGAGTGCGTATCAGCTGTGATTGAATCAATAAGTATACAGTATACATATGTACTTATAGTAAGAAAAACGATGTCTAGATCTTGATTTACTCAATTTTTGAGGCATTTGTTATTTAATACTCCAAATCATAAACTATAACCATAAGAAATTGAATCCATTTTGATGAATCCTAACCGTCAATTATTTTTCCTTGATTTTAGTGCATAAGATTTAGATAGTTTGAGACTAATATTTTAATTTTTTTAAGAATTATAATATAATATCATATCTCAAATTCTAAACAATTCAAAATCTTAGTAGCGTTTTCTTACTCATAATATGCTATACTCTAAGATTTACCCTGGTAGAATCAACTCCCATATATATTATTTTTCCATTTCTGTGGCTTGTGATCGCTATAACAAACAACCACAAAAAAAATTTAGTCTTAATTTATATAGGTGGTGGTTGGTTGCGACGGTTTGAAGTCGGTGGTGGCGAAGACGTCCCTACGACTGGATTCCGAAGGCGCCATGCCGATATCTGCCACCAGAGGCTTCTCGTATTCTCCGGAAGGCCACAATCTCGGCGACAAGTTCGTCGTTCACAAAGACGTCGCCTCCGGCTCCCTGCTCGGCGAGTTCCCTCTCACCCCAAACCTACTCTACTGGTTCCTCCTTAGACCATCCACTCCTCAGGGTACGTATAATTTTTTTTCCCCTCATATTAATCTCTAATACGCCCCTCAAACGAAAGCCGAATGCCGAATTGTACATTTTTTACGGTTTGCACAGGTTGAACCCTATATTGCCAAACCACGAGGCTTTAGTTTGCACAGGTCGGACATATCATCCCTTGTGCTAAACAAATGGCTAAAAATGGGGTCATCATGGGAATTCGAAACCATAACCTTTCGATTCTAGGCTCTAATACCATGTCAGTGAACTAACCAATTAGCCCCAATAACTCGAATTGTTGAAAAATGGATAGTTAAGCCTTTTAACCTCTAATATAGTTTCGTTTTTTACCGACTCTATCCTTCCTACGTAACATTTAATGCATGCATGGCCAGATTCAGTAGCATGCAAGGACAAGAAGCTGATAAAAGAGTCGAGCCTCGAGACCGTGAAAGATTACCCGCCGGAAGCCCAAGCAACGGTGAGGAACAGCGACGAGGAGTCACTGCACCTCTCGGAGTCAATAACCTACCGCCGGCCGTGGGACGTGCTGACTAAGAAATTCAGGAGAGGAACGGTGACGGTGGCCGGAGACGCCATGCACGCGATGGGCCCGTTCCTAGCTCAAGGCGGCTCGACTTCCCTTGAAGACGCCGTCGTTCTGGCTGACTGCATGGCGGCGGAATTACTCGTCCGGCCGCCGCGAGTTGTACCGATGGTATTAGCTCTTGATGAGTACGTGGATCTACGGAGGAAGAGAGTTTTCTGGCTGTCCCTAAACACTTATCTTTTGGGTGCAATTGCGAGCCCTAGTTCCTCGAGGGTTACCAGAAGCTGTTGCATTTTGTTGAAGAAGGTTTTGTTCAGCGACCCATTTGAACATTTACTCTATGATTGTCGTCGCTCTTGAGTTGACTGCTACTTGAATATTAATGCACTATTTTCTACGTACGTACATATAATATGTGAGGTTCTTAAATTTGGACTTATTATATAATGATATACATGGTATTGGTCTTTCTATTCATTTGATCACTTTCTGATTACCAACAATGCATGATCACTTTCTATTCATTTGATCATATAGAGTTATGACCAAGCACTTACCCGATATGATTTTTAATTAATCGGCATCGCTTACAAAGGCTTCTCACGATATCGTTTTCAAATAAGCATTAATCGGTGTAGTTTCTCTCCTCTTCCGACAAGGAATAAACAAAAAAAGCATTCCTTTTCCAATACCAACACTAGCAGGCCGAGTGAATCCGACATTATTTTCCCCCTAAACAATGTTGTTTTAAGTACCGCGCGCGCGGTGTTGTTGAGAGCTTCCTCGCGGTGTCGTTTTAACTCTCCCCCGCGATGCCCGCTCGACTCCAAACGATACCGTTTTTTTGTCACGCGGTATCGAATTAAATGCCGAGACTAATTAATACGGCATTTAATTCAGACCAAAGTGAATTTTAGGTGTCGAACACAATTTTCCACTTCAAATAGAAAAAAACATAGTATAGTTTGTTTAAAGTACCCTGATTGGCTACCCAACACTTAACATTGTTTATATATAAAATAATACTAATAAATATCATACACAGACATAATGGAAAAGAGCTATGAAAATAAAACAAAATCACGATAACTAGCGTAAGAGAGGCAGAGTCGACAATTAATCAATCACATCCTCGAGTGTAGTTTGCATCCAGCATTCCACTCATCACTTGCAGCACCAGCAGCAGCAGGATTATTATTAACAACCTTCTGAATCTGACCATCAGCAGCAACGTCCTGTTTGACTGAAGACTCCTCCTCCACAGCAGCAGCAGCGGCGTCGTCTTGTTGTTGTTGTTGTTTGATTAGGAAGATCCAGCGAGCCTCGCACTGGTTGGGCGTTTTATGAATGAATTGCCTGGAAACGTGACGCCACTGGTCCTTGCCATAAAAATCTACCGCCGCCTTGAGCAGCCCATCCATCACGGGAAGCCAGCCACAGACGCGAGCCTTGCACTCCTCGCCGGACCTGCCGTCCAGCAGCGAAGCGATCCGGTCCCACTGGTCCGTCCTCCTGCCGTACTTCTTGACCGCCTTCTTCAGGATCAAATCCTCCTCCACCAACCACGTCGCCCACCGCCCGTCGGCCGTCTTCCTGCCTAGTATTTTGTCCCGCCGGAGAGTGCGGAGATCGTGAGGGCAACGGCTATCGCGTGCCATTTCAATCTTCAATTTCTGAAGTGCGAATGTAAATCCGAATCAAACCCAACGGAAAGTAAGGTTCTCGATCTATTTATAGATGATCAAGAAGCAGATTAATTAGCAGTTTCCCGCTTTCCCTTGCTTCTTCGGGAACGGGTTGAAAAAGAATAATATAATAATTAACACAAAAAAAATATCACGGCCAACATATTACTTTAGTCTAGTCAACATCATTGACGGTGTTGTTAAGTTCAATAGTTCATGGATGAAATGACTATATTTGTCATTAGTCAAAGGAATTTGCTATATTTCTCACAACTGTTAAAATTTTGGTTATAAAGGTGTATTGGGATTTTTCCAATAATAGCACGTTTAAATTTTCTTTTACAAAACTAGCACCAATTCGAAAATATTGACTGAAATAGCACCAATTTAAATGGAACGCACACCTAAGGTGCGTTTTATAAGTAAACTGCACCTCACAGGTGTGTTTTACATATAAACCGCACCTTAGGGGTGCGTCCCAAGCCACGTCAGCACAAGAAACGCAGCTCCAAGATGCGTTCTTCAGATTCTGTGGAACGGTCTTGAAGACCGTTGGATGGGGGCACGATCCGAGCGCTGAATGCGCGCCAGCGGAGCGATCCGCGCCACGGATCGGGGAACGCATCGCCGAGATGCGCTCAACTCTCGGGAAACGCAAACCGCCTCGGAAAGGTGCGGTTTCCATGAGGGCAAAATTACCCGACCCCCCCTGGAGGGTGCGGTCTGTTGGGTATAAATACCCTCCTTCCCCTCTCATTTCTTCACACCACAACCCATTCTTCCTTCTCTCTCTAGATTTTATCTCTCTAAACCCTCCCCTCCCAAAAGTCTAGGAAATAGAAGTCTGTTGGTTGCGGCTAAGTCCGATCTGCCATCAGAAAATATTTCTTAGGTTTTTTCCTCAAAACCCGCCGAGTCGAATCTCTGTCCGAAATTTGATTTTTTCCTCAAAACCCGCCGAGCCGAACCTCTGTCCGAATTCCCAAAAAAATGGCCGATTGGTGGCAAGGAGAGGGAGTTTATGTCGATGAATTTCAAGCGGTACGTACTCATTATTCTGCTTTAATTTTTGTTGTTGTTATAAGCTTTTTAATTAATCTATGTACTAACCTCGTTGTTATTTTCTCGTAGGTTGGGGAGGGCGTGGAAATATACAACCAACGGTATTATCTCGAGCAAGAACCGTTGGATCCAACCGACTTGTACGACCAACCCAACCATCGGTCAAGGGATGTTTGGAACGATCACCCGGTACATACAATTCTTCACTATTTGTCCTTCTTTTATTTTGTTAATGTATTTAGTGTAATATAAAATAAATTTATGTTGATTTTTTAATCGTGTTGGTTGTTTTCAATAGTTTAATCGAACACATAGCGCCACTTACTTCGACTCTTTATAAAGATATGCACGTCTAAGGAAATGGGGTTTTAAGCGATTATCATATCCTCCCATTACCTGGAAAAATCGGGTATTAAGAGATCCTCAGATCCCCCCTTTTTATGTCAAAAAGACTGTGTTTCTAAGAAGATGTATACCTCTTCTAAGAGTCTAACGAGTGTTGCTTTGTATTCGATTCAATTATTTAAAACAACCAATACGATTAAATTATTTACCAAACAACCAATACTATTTATTTTTATGTGTAAAAAAAGAATTTTATTAATTTCAAACATTTGAATATGTATGTTTCTATTTAAATTATTATTCATTAACAATGTTATTTATGTTAATTAATTTAGTATGTTTGTTTTACGATAATATGTATGTATTCTTTAAATTATTATTCATTTAGAATGTTATTATGTTAATTAATTTAGGATGTTTGTTTTATGATAATATGAAATGTCTTTTTATGATAATAAAATTATGCTTGAAGTTAAATAATTTAATTTAATTAATTTAGTTATAAGAAAAAAAACCCTCACTAATATATAATAATTAACGTGTAAATTTTTGCTAGGAGGCACAAACAATAATCCGCTATAGGGGTGCCACCAATGTGCTCCAATTCCACCCAGCTATCTTGCCCTTTCTCAAAAGGGCACGGTTGGACTCGATTAGGCATTTTAACGACATCCAAATTGATCGCCAACTCATCACTGCATTAGCCGAGAGATGGAGAAAGGAGATCCATTGTTTCAACTTTAGAGAAGGAGAGGCCACCATCACGCTAAAGGATGTCGCCATCCTAACCAATCTGCCCATCGACGGCAAACCGGTGTGCGTGAGTGATCATCCCCCCGAGGATCGTGACAGTATGCCCGGTTGGGTTCATTTCATCCACAGTCATTTGGGAGTGAAAGTACCGGTGAAGTGTTGCGTTGATGCGATCGATCGCATGCCACCAATGAGGAAACACCAAGTCTCAATTACTTGGTTGACGAAGTATTTTAGAGACCATTACGAGAGTCATCCCCTAACCGAGGAAAGTCCGGAGGATGAGAAGGAGAGATATGCTCGTGTCTATCTCATAGGCATGATCGGAGGAGTGTTCTTCTCCAAGAAATCAAGCAATCTCCTTAGTTGTGGATGGTTTAGGATCATCTTTGGTAGTTGGGAGGAGATGGGGGAGTATAGTTGGGCATCCGCTTGCCTAGCTATGATCTACCACAACTTGTGCAATGCGTCTCTAAAAGCTGTGAGAGAGGTCGGCGGCGCAATGTTCATCGTCCAATTTTGGGCTTGGGAGCATATGCCATGGATTGCACCGGTCCAACGTCCAGACAGGGATTGGCCAATCGATCATCCCCTAAGAGGTGAAGCTTATGGTAGAAGGTAAACTTCTCATACCCCATCATGTAGTTTATAACACATTTTCCCTTGTGTTTTATCTTATTGTAGTTCCATTATTGTCTTATTAATAAGGTGGCTCGGACACACAACATGCGACAACCTTGCCCAACACAAGTTGGACGAGTATAGGAGGAGGTTTGTGCGACTTTGGGAAGGAGAGGTAACTTCTACACTTCGACCCATTTATATGTTTTTTCCATGGGACTACATGTATTTTTCTAATTAATTCATCTTACGTTACTCATTTCTTTCTTGTAGATCGTCTTCGATCCATACCCGGAGAACATCGTTCATTGGCATCTCCAGCAATTCCCCGGTCATATCGGGCAATGGTGCACGAGGGTTCCTCTAATTTGTTTTGGGACCGTGGAGTGGCACTTGCCGGATCGATGCCTCCGTCAGTTTGGCCTGGAGCAGTGCATTCCGTTGGAGGTCTTCAAGCAGCGGTCTAGTAGCGACCTTTATCTTCTGAAAATTGCCACCGACGTAGGTGGCCCCCTTTCCAGTCTCTTCCCTTGTAACCATTCCACCGTAAGCCTAGCGTGAACTTTTGGAATGCCATCTGCGAAAAAACCGTAGTTCAGTTAATATCATAAAAATAAAAAATAACACTAAAACGTAATACAAAATAAACTTACGAGTTAACAATAATCGCAAAACTACTAAAGAAATATAGAGCTACAACAGAAAATTGAAAAGGGAGAAGGAGAGGTGTGAGAAGAAATGGTTTTCCGGAAAGCCTTTTATAGGCAAAATCACTTATGAAAACCGCACCTTAGAGGTGCGGTTTTCGTCTGCCATGCAGGCCCACGTCTGTTATTCTGCATGGAATGTCGGAAATAATTGACCAAAACCGCACCTTTGGGGTGCGGTTTGAGTGGCAAAACCGCACCATGAAGATGCGGTTTTGTTTGGGAGAAGCAAACCGCAGCTTCATGGTGCGGTTTAGGTCTTCGGCCAAGCGGTTTCTGTAGGTCAGACCTAAAACCACTTGGCCAAGATGCGGTTTTGGTCCAGGATTTTAAACCTCACTCTAAAGGTGCGGTCCACAAAAAAGGGTGCTATTAGTGTAAATTTTTTCGGCTGGGTGCTATTTTGATAAAAAAAAAATTAAGGTGTTGTTTCTGGAAAAATCCCAGGTGCATTTTGTCTAAACTAAATTACATGTACAACTCCATATTTAAATCCAAATGAATGTTACTTGAGTTCTTAATTTCAGAATTTGTCTTTCTATATATATATATAAATAGCTTCAAATAAAATATAAGTATCCACCAAATAATATTTGTAGCGGTTAATTAATAATGTTTTAATATATAATCCACTACCTTTGTTTGAGGGATTTGGGTTCAAATTCTAATAATAATTTTTATTTAATATATAAAGAAAAATTGCAAACAATTATGAAAAGGATCTTCATGAAACTGCTCACAACCCAAAAAATGTGGAAATTTTTTTCTATCACTTCAGTATATGTGTAAGTAGATGTAGTATTGGAGATTGGAGAGGGAGGGGTTGTCAAGAACCAGTTGATCCCAATAACCCAAGTTGTTGGAAGAGGTTCAATTGTGGATCATATACCGTCGGAGGGGGCGGGTTGTCAAGAACCAGTTGATCCCAATAACCGAGTTGTTGGAAGAGGTTCAATTGTGGATCATATACCGTTTACTAACACTCCCCCTCAAACGAAAGTCACCATATATGGGCTTGAAGTTTGCACAGGCATCAGACACCTTGTGCTTATCAAATTGGGGTTATCGGGATTCGAACAAAAGACCTTTCGTTCACAGAAGGCTCTGATACCATATCAAGAACCAGTTGGTCCCAATAACTCGAGTTGTTGGAAGAGGTTCAATCGTAGATCATATACCGTTTACTAACAGGGGTTGAGGTGGCAGTCATCCTTGATTTGGGACATGAGCGGATTGAACCAAGACCTTCCCATCAAGAAACAAGCTCGATTTGACCTGCGCTAAATAGATTAGGTCGGATCCAATTATCCAAACTATCTGACCGGATTAGTATTGCTTGTCAAAACCAGTTGACCCCAATAACTCGAATTATTGGAAAAGATTATGTTGAATCTTATACCACACTCTTACGTTGTCATTCTTGCTGAACAGTTCTCTTTCGTAAACAAAGCACAAGCCATTTTAGTATTATTCAAAGATAAAGAAATCTCAACAACCTTTATTGGATCTTATTGCCTATTGGTATACAAAGCTCCCACAATGTCTCATCGTCCTAACTAATAGTTATTTCTAAATGCTGTTTTCGTCACTGAACCATCATGACAGTTGATAACCGAAGGTAATATACAAGAATAATCTTGAATTGACAGGGTAACTGTTATCATATGTCACATTGCTGACCCATTCGTTCGGTTCCACAGCGCCACTGTCGCTCTTGCTTTGATAACCGGGAATGGATCAGGTCAGTAACCTTATGGTGAGTAATCATGAGTAACCCGTCCACATCAGCATGACATCAGCATTCTCTCTCTCATGGAAAGCCTTTAATTTTTCCCTTTTTAATCTTTGACGGACGATTTCTCGCTCATTTTAAGTCGAAATTTAATTTTTTTTGCACAGTTAGATCAGATTAATTGTGCTCTTCAAAATGATATCCACTTTAATATATTTTTCGAACAAAAAAAATTGAGCCATTTTTTACCAGCCTATACCATATGGTATTGACTGGTATTGAAATAAAAGCATACCTATGTTTTGAAAAACGTACCATGGTGGTATGAACAAACCAATACTGAGGATGGTTGAATACATGATAGTAGAAGTATATTAATTGTAATTTACGACTTTTAACATTGTATACCACACAATACCACCCCGTACCAGGGTGGTATTGTGTGGTATTTTTTGGTCCTGTAATTTGCTCACCCAGAAATTTGTAGATCCAATAGATCATGATGAACTCGTCCCTTCTATGCAAACGTTTTCAAAAACGAATTAAAAACGAAGAAGATACCATACAATACCACCCCGTACCAAGGTGGTATTGTATGGTATTGTGTGGTATTTTTTGGTCATGTAATTTGTTCACCCAGAAATTTGTAGATCCAGTAGATCATGATGAACTCATCCCTGCTGTGCAAACGTTTTCAAAAACGAATTAAAAACGAAGAAGATACCATATGGTATGCAGTTGGTACCGAGAGGCCAGAATTTTTTTTTCCTAAAAAGATATTGAAAATTGATCTCATTTTGTAGAGCACGGTGAACTCGTTCCATCTGTGCAAAAAAAATTAAAATCCGAGTTAAAACGAAAAAGATATGAGTCAATTAAGAAAGCTAGTGAAAATAAAAATAGTCTTTCATTCTCCATCCTTAGATCTGGATTTTCTAAATGAAGGGTCCAGATTTGGTTATTGATGGGTGCATAACCCATGGTTATGCACCCTATCTTGAGCCTTGATAACCCAAAAAAGGAGGAAACCAAATAGGAGGGAAAATAATCATAAAGGGAATGCTATATATCAATAATAATATATATATATATATATTTATTTGCTCAGCCCTCACAAAAATGTAAGGAAAACTGGAAGGATTTTATAAATTTTGTACGAACTTTAATTAATTTTTTTTTTTTTTGTTTCAGTACGTAAACAAACGGTTTACACACAAAATATCTTATTTTCAACCACAAAAACTTCCTCGTTAACAATTCGAAATCATTCGAACCAACTGGTTTTCGACAAGTAGAAGAACAACAACACCAGAAACAACGCCGACTTGCTCACCATCGTAACGTGCATAGCTAAGAAATCAGCAAACCCATCCACCATGTAATTCCAATCGTCATCCATCAACAGCTGATCATCATCCGATAAGTTCAACGCGAAATTGTATGGTTTAGTAGCATTCATACCGCTCAGCACCGTCACCTCCTTCCCGTCGTCGTTCTCGTTGATTTCGCCGACGTTAGGGCACCGGAGGCCGACGATGTAGCCATCCAGGTCATGAACCCAACCAGGGTTCTGAATACTGAAGAACTCCAACGCCACCTCCACGCCCACGTGTACGTAACACGAACAACTCCACGGCATCTCGTACTCTTCGTTTCCGGCCACCAAAACCCTAGCCGTCGCCTCGTTGAGGAAAACCCCGGGAAGCTTCGTCACGGGATCGTTCACGTTCACCACCCTCAGCACCTTCACCCCCAATTCCTCGCACCGCCGCTTGAACCCCGAGTTCCCCACCCTCGGCCCACCGAACGAAAACACCGTCACCGGAGCCACAGTACTCGCCGCCAGACTGTTGATCCCGAGCTCGCAGATGTCGTAGGCGAGGAGAAGCGCGAGGGAGCTCCCCATGCTGTGGCCCACCAGCGTGATGCTGACGTCAATCTCTCGCTTGTTCTGTTTCTTGTTCTTCCTGAGCAGCCTCGACACCTCGGAGAGCAGCTGCTCGCGGCAGCTTCGCAGGCCGAACCTGCAGCCGCTCTCTTGGGAGGTGTAGAGGCTGAGGAAGCCGGCTTCCACCTGGACCCCCGGTCGGGGGTCCAGAGGGTGGAAGCCGGCCGGAGTGAGGGAGCTCATGAAGTTGGCGGCCCACTCCGGGCTCGTCACCGTGCCGCGGAAGGCCACCACTATGTCCTCCCTCCCCAACCTCGTCTTCGTCTCCGCGTCGTCGTCCGACAACGCGGAGACGGCCACGTAGCCGATCCAGCGGCTGCGAGGGGCGGCCGCGCCCTCGCGGGGGGAGGCGTAGATGTACTTGGTGACGCGGTAGCCGGAGTGGTGGAGGCCGAGGTTGCGGAGCATGTCGTCCCTGGCGAACTTGCAGTGCAGGTGGCGGCTGGAGGAAGGGTCCACGTCGAAGGCCTTGTAGCAGGCGGCGAGGAGCTCGCCGTAGCGGATTATTTCTCCGCGGAGGAGTGGGTGCAGCCAGCTGGCGGCGGGGCCCACGAGTCCCTGCCAGTCGTTGCAGCCTTGAATCTCTCTCCACATGGATGCCACGCCGCCATCGGCGGCGGTGGTTCTTCTCCCGCCGGCGGCGCTCCTTTCGCTTGTTGAAGAAGCGATGGTGTTGGGCCGCCTGCGGCGGAGGGAGTGATTGTTGTTGATGTTGATGACGGGGATGGCCGGCGTGATTACGACGACTTTGGAAGTAAACATGATTAGCTAGAGGGGTTGTGGAATTGGAAATTTTTGGCTGGATTATAATCCATTTATGGAAGAATTTATGAAATGGTTAGTTAGTTATTTAATTAAGGATAAAACTAAAACAAATTCTTAAACTACCACACTTTTAAAATTTTTTTCCAAAATACCTAAGTTCGGAGTGGTTCGAGTTTGAGGAACTCGAACTACTAACCGGTTCGAGTTCGAACTCGAACTACTAACCGGTTCGAGTTTAGGAGACTCGATCTAGTCGTAGATCGATGATATAAGTCTCGAATCATGTGGAGCTGAACTCGAACCACTGCTTTGAAATTTCCAACAACCTTAACTTTGTGCTCGGTTATCCGATCGTAGCAAACTTTTTTTTCATTTCGCATAACTTTTCGAGGACTACAACTTTTATAATAGAAATATTTTCAGAATATATGTGAAAATGTGAAAAATAAAGTTAAATTTACTCCAAACCACCTTATATTAAAAATTGTTCCTATTTTGAAAGTTTATTCCTAGTAAATGTTGTAGTACTCAAAATATTATGCAAAATAAAAAAAAGCTTTGCTACATTCGGATTGCGGAGCACAAAGTTATGATCCTCTAAAGTTTGGCAAAATCGAAAATTTGCTCGTTTAGGGGTAACAAATGACATTTTCTCGGGGCGAAGGCACGGGAAATTTTTTATATATAGGGAATTTCTGCCAAAAGAGCAATATTTTTACAAACGAGAAATTTTTGGATGGCTATCTTCCTAGAAAATGTCATTTGCTACCCATAAACGAGCAAATTTTCGAATTTGTCAAACTTTGGAGGATCATAACTTTGTGCTCCGCAATCCGAACGTCGCGAAGTTTTTTTTTGTTTTGCATAATTTTTTGAGTACTACAACATTTACTAGGAATAAATTTTCAAAATAGGAATAGTTTTTAATATAAGGTGGTTTGGGAGTACATTTAACCTTATTTTTCACATTTTCACATATATTCTGAAAATATTTCTATTATAAAAGTTGTAGTCCTCGAAAAGTTATGCGAAATGAAAAAAAAATTTGCTACGACCGGATAACCGAGCACAAAGTTAAGGTTGTTGGAAATTTCAAAGGAGTGGTTCGAGTTCAGCTCCACATGGTTCGAGACTTATATCATCGATCTACGACTAGATCGAGTCTCCTACACTCGAACCGGTTAGTAGTTCGAGTTCCTCAGACTCGAACCACTCCAAACTTAGGTATTTTGGGAATTTTTTTTAAAAGTGTGGTAGTTTAGGAATTTGTTTTAGTTTTATCTGTATTTAGGGAATTAATCCGTTAATTAATGCGTGCGTACGTAACTACGTATGATGTGGATGTGGGAGGGATAATTAATGGATTTTTGGCACAATATATATCTGCGAGGACGTAACTTTTTTTTTAGCCCATCATGTCGGGTGTTAATAATCGGGACGACTTGCAACAATATATTTTTGGGGGAAGACTTGGTGCGATTTTATTACGATAATAATTGTCCATCACCATTATTTATTGTTAGTATATATATTTCAGAAATTATAATTACAACAATTGTATTGGTCGATCGGCAAGCAGTCGCATCAGTTTTGTCATTCATATTCTAGTTTTCTACTTGTCTTCGGACAGCCGCAGGTAAGCTGGGTTACGCTTGGTACGTACGTTAACACCATAATCACGGGAGTTGACAAGGAAGAAGCTCCCCAATATTATTATTATTAGAATTATTAAACCATAAGCAATTAAGAAAAACAGATTACTGTTCCTTAAGATAATTTCGGAGGTTACTGTTCACTATGGGTCTGACTAAGCTGTGAGAGAGTTTACTGTAAACCCATGTGTACCGTTTTGGGTGGGCTAAGCATAGCCATCGATCAAACAAATCTTGGCCGTTGAATTTTATACCCATAAATTCCCGTGTCCTCTCTCCATTCTTCTGCCTCGAAATCCCTCTGCCACTCCTTTCCCGTTGAACTCTTTTCTTTAGCATGTTCTTTCTCTCTCTCTCTCTCCCTCTCCCTCTCTCTTCTCATTCTTCTCCGCGACCACTCATTCTCTTAATCTCTTTGCTCATTTGTAATCTCATCTCTCAATTGTTCTCTACTTGATGAAAACGCTACTGGGTAAGATAAATATATAACAGGAATCGGCCTGCTCCGCCATCGATTTATCTTCCTGAACCAGTTTGCTTTCTCATCCCCAGTGAATTAAATCGGATCGGATCTACACTCTAATTTTTTTTCTTTTGATTTGGCGAGAGTTAACCCTGATATCAAATGCTCTGAATTTACCTCTCTCTTTGTTTATCTTTTCTGTCTCTTCACAAACCCTAACAAGAATTTTGATCGAATTTGAGGAATCAGTTCGCCACAGCTCCCCTTACTCTCCTCATTGCATGTCGATTCAGGTAGCACTGTCTAATTTTTATCAGAAATATTGTTGACTGGCTCAGGTCCGGGTGGGTGTACGAAACTGTTGTCACCTCCCCTCACACTCAAATCCTAATGTAAGGCCATGCATGGGTGATGGTTACTCTTCTCGACGAGCTGGCTGTTTTGCCACCCAACATCTCCCGCAAAGTCAAAGCTCTCTCTTCACTCTTATTCTTCGAGAGAACAACCAAGTGAAAGCTGACTTGAAATTGAAGCCATGGAAAATGGTTCCTCCGCCAAGTTCCAGCTCTTTGTGGGGTTGTCCAACATCTCTCGACCCTCATTCTTCTTCGAGAAGAAAAACCAAGTGGGAGGTAAGTTTTAGCTCATTTCAAAATAGAGTATGTACCAAAATTTATGATTGATGCTTTTGGTTCAGTTATACAAACCCATTCTGAATATTAAGGATTCATACGAGACTTTTTGCTTTCTTTTTGCCATTGAAAAGTTTTTGGGGGAAAAAGGGGTCGGAATGGGGGAAGTGATAATACATGTCAATTAAATCAGAGTTATCATTGGTGAATTTTGAGGTTAGAGTCATAATTAATCGAATCATTACCTCAAACTCCTACTGCTATGAATTCATATGCCAAGAGTTAGTGTTCCTCTTTCACATATAAACCAGTTGACTGCTATTTTGTAACTCTATTCTTGGTCCAGCCAGATATCATTCTCTAGCAAGCATTATGTTCATTAGTGTGAAACTATTGTTGCAGGTAAAGATGGACTCCAACATGATCCCTGCACTTGCTTTGTGTTTTTACTCAACAGAACTCTGTAAATTGATCCTTATTTTGCTCTAAGCTGGATATGATCCAATCCCTGACACAAGATGGAAACAAGCAAAAGGATGTTGAGCTTTAGCTCAAAATGGTTGGTAATGCCATGGAAGGGCCAATCTCATTAGGATTTCTGGTCTTTATTGAGAAAGTTGCCCCTGATATGCACAGTTTGAGATGAAACCAATGAACTAGCTGCATTAATAAATTTAAGCCAGGCTGCTGAGCTCCTATTTCCAGTCACCTCTAGCTATCCCAGGGTAATAAAGTGTGTTGTTATGTTGTTTTTGAAGTCCTCCTACATTGTTCTATTTCTGAAGGGTGGTAAATAATTCCCTGGAAAATAGTGGCTTTCTTTGCCACACCTATGCTGATATTTCTCCCCTTCCATGGGTGCTTGCCTGCTTGGTATATGTTTCCACACCAAACGTACACAGAGGACTCAATTTTCAATTTTGTCTTTGATATTGGTGCACATATTATCTGGATTGGGGGAGCTTATTCCAAGTGCCATTCCAAGCTATTGATTGACCTACACAAAGCATATTAATAGTTTGTTTTCCACCACTCAAATGTTGGTCCAAGATATGCTAAGCATTCTATTGCTGTAACAAAGTGAGAATATGGCATATATTTTAACTTCATGAATGGTCATGTATGGCCCGGCTTTTAGAAGTGCTTTATGACTTCAAAAGCTGAAGCAGAGTCAAACACCTCTAAAAGCTCGACTTTTGAAAAGTCGAAAAGCACTTTTGTATAACATAAAAGCAGAAGCTCCGATTTGGAGCTTCTGCGAAAAACTGTTTTGAATATATAAGATTATCCTTACCATATTTTAATTTTATTTAAAAAAATATAATTTTCCTTCATTTATATCATTTTAAAAATAAAATAAATTATAAAATCATATTATTTACTATAAAATAAATCTAACAAGATCCATTTTAACTACTTTTTATTGTTTAGAATTTTTATTCATATTTTATATTATAAGTCTTTTGAAGTCATTTTACACAATCTCTCATATTAAAAAGCACTTCTAATAGATTTAGAGCCAAACACTCAACTGCTGTTTTTCAAAAGTACTTATCTAAAAGCTCCAGCCAAAAGCGGCTTCTGCAAAAGCTATATCAGGCAAAACTAAACTAATATCAGGACACCCGACGTGTAACGCGAGCTAAATAACTAGTTATTATTAAATGGTCAATGAAACCGTACTGGAGATCGTATTGGAAAAGTCAATATTAGGGTATTTTATCGTAAAACCATGGTTTAAACGTAGTTCAACCGTTATACCGTTAAATATCGTCTACCGATTTAGCCTCCGATACTAGTATTTTGTGGTTGAACCATCGGTACGATTTCATGGACACTGTTATTAAGGGAATCGTAATTTCTTTTCATTCCTTCCTTGTAGTTACCTGCCCTTTTTTTTCCATTTAGTTACTTCATGTTTTTTCCTTTTATACAACTTTATAAAATTTCAGGTGCACTGACCCTTACTTCTACGGCCAACCATCTGTATTTGTATACTCTCCATTCACTCACACTCACTATAACCAATATCCCGCCATGTGTTTATACTAAGAACAATGAACAAACTCAAGCCTGTTGGAAACTGCAAATGTGGATATCAAACAAAGCCCGATCTCGATAGGAAACAACACTCTCTTTCAAACCAGTAGTAGTCCTATTGACTTCCATCCATGAAATCCTATGTTACCAAAAAATTGGATCCCTTCATCCTCCTCCGTCCACAACTAAGAAAGGTGGCTGTACATTGCAAAGAGAGTCGACTGGTGAAGAGGGTTTCTTCCCTGTCATCTTGTCGACTTGTGCTGGGAAGCTAGTAAATCGGAGCCTTGATGGTTGTTTGATAGCCTGTGAGACGAATTCTGGGCCTGGAGGCAACTGCATTCTGGCAATGGGTACTTGTAGATGGAAGTTTTTCTGTTGATCTTCTTCACTCTAGGGACCATCATTCCCTTGCGATCGCTTTCTTCCAGCACAACTTGCATCTCATCCTTGAACCCCTTCCAGCTGCACCATTCAGTTCAAGCATATCCATGTACAGAGGATCACGCCATCATTAACAGCACCGGATTTTGAAGTTTTAGAAAGCTACTTTTCGCCTCTCGACTTCAATAGGTAACGTGGAGAGTGGAATGTACCTGATTGTCTTCTCCTGAAGCAAAACAGCGAGTTTGCGTTTATCCGGATTGATAGTCTTGGCATGTCCATCAAAAAGAAATCTTCTATGGCCCATCAAAAAATGAGGGAAGTTTCCACCCTGAGTTGTAACGAAAACCTCACTGTACAGGCACACAGTGTAGTCCAAAGCTGCCAATCTTGACGAATAGCCCTGCCAGCGAGAAAGAAGTCGACCTGAGCTAGTATTTGAAAACTAGAGGAATAGTTCCATATGCCAAGGGTTCGACAGCCACCAACAGTAGTGTTTCAAGTTGCTGGGGCAAGGGTTTAACTCCAGAAGGTTAGTAGCCTAACAAGCTCAAGTACAGTAATGTTCTACTTACTAGGAGTCCAAAATCTATAAGCGGAGACGAAGGAAGAATCCAGCCGAGACCTAAATAGATAACAATGCAATGTAAAGAGTATTTGGTGCGCGTGCAGTGTTCTTCTTTCTATGGTTACAAGTTCCTAATGATTTCCCAAAAGAGACGTCTTTTAGGACTTCCAATTTCAGTTTAACATTGGTTGTCCAGAATGCAAGTGTGCAAAGTGTTACAGAGCATATTATACAGGAAACGTCAATATCACAAGAAGTTTACAACAAAGGGGAAGCTTGATCTATTTACCTTGAATGGTGCAAGTTCCTCTGCTGTCGCAAGAGTTTCCTTGAAATAAAGAAGGGGAAACATTCTCAACAAAGGTTTCAAATGTCTGTCGGCTTGGTAAATCTTGCCCGATGCTATGTATATCGAAGTTGTGTTATCAAATCCCATACCGCGCAGCAACAATCCTACCTATGCTGACAAAGAAAACATCAAAAGAATGTGTTATTCACCTTGCCAGTAAATGTCCAATCAAATGGATTACTGCAAATCTACAAATTAGCCTATGCTGCAAGTTAACAGAGCATGCAGTGGGATTTAAATTGTCAGAAGGATCCTGTTAAGAAATCCTGAAAATACATTTTTACCCAATGAGCATTTTACACGGCTGAAACCAAACCACCAAATGCGGCATATTGTGCTGGAACCAAAATCTCAGCAAAAGAAAACTCAACTCCCCACTGATAAACCCGCAACATATAGCTGGTACATAGAACTACAGCAAACCCAACTTTAATTATATTCAAATGGGGAACTATCACTTGTCTGCCTGTATTTGAGATTTGAAAGATGGTGATTGATAGTAAGCCAAAGAAAATTTGATGTAGCTGTCATCAGCAAAATAGTTTCTACTTTGTCTCGCAATAACCCTACAAATGGCGAGGATCCATATTCAACCCTTAAATAGATGGAAAAGGCTTCCCTGTCTCGCAATACAGGGAAATAATATCAAACAGTACTAAGCAATAAGTAAACAACAGTAAGAGCCGATTGAAGCATTAACCAATCCCTCTGAGATGTTGAGAGGAGCCTCTTTCACAACACAGTTAATCTGTGACAACCTAAGGAAACTAACTGTCGGCTTGGTCATCCTTCCTTCACATTTGTGTAAACCCAGGAGGATTATACGAGCATGTACCCCCCCCCCCCCCCCCGGTGCTCGCATTCTGACACGAACGAAATTTTCTGTTGGCAAGAAAGTAAAAAGGGAGTTGCAGAAGGTAGGTACCTCTAATGGGGTCAGAGGGCATTTTCCATCAATGCGATTAAGGCCAGGATTAACCTCGCGATCTTTTCTTTTAAACTTCTCTTTCCACTCTGCCTCTCGAAATGAAGCCAATTCGTACCTTTCAGCAGCTCCACCATCGTAAATGCAGCATGAAAATGCTACCATGTCCTACAAGTTTAAAAGAGATGCTACTTGAACTAATGTTTAGTGCTAATACTTAGAAACTGGAGACATCAAACTCTTAGCAAGCAATAATACAAATCTGTACCTCCTCAAAGCGGAGGTGGATGGAAACATATTTTCCTCCATTTTTTGTGCTCTTCTCAACCATTCGGTTTACCAGCTTCTCTGCCAGCGTTGACACGGGCAAAGCAAATCTCAATGCTTTGTAATTTGTTATGCATCTAAGCAACTGAATATGTGCCGGGACACTCATAGCCAATCGATTGGCAAATGGTGCAAAACGAACAACCCTGATTGAAGACAGAAACACAGTCAGAAATATCCCTCAGGCATGTGCAAAGTACCCAGATCAGATAATAACATGCCAGTTCCAGTGCTTTCAGCCTGTGAAATATATTCATTGCTGGGCAATACAAGCAGAGGCAAGAAAAGAATATAATCTATAACATACCCATGCTCTCTTAGGACGGGATAGATTTGTCCTGTGTAATATTTAGCAGGAGCCCAAGGAGGAACTCGAATTGTATGAATACTAGTCATGTTATAGTCATATTTCCTCATCACTTCATCGGGTAATGCTTTCACCACTTTCACATGTTTCTCAAGTACGGATATGAAGTGATCCAGGTCATATATGTCCCCAAACTCACTGCAAAAGAAAACTGCAACATGTAAGTGATACAGTAAGGAATAGGTTCAATCAGAGGAAGAAATAAATTCAACATTATGCGTACAGTTTTGAACGAACAACTACAAAAGTTTGCTTGCAACTTGATAAAGGATCCTTTCAGCTTACCAAAATTCTGCTTTCAGAAATATGTTGAATTTCTGAATGAATATAAAATATTGGTAATGGTATTACCTACACATGGCTAAGTTAATTGCGAAAGCAGAGCTGGAAAAATGGAAAAGCTTAAGCTACGCCTACGTAAGTTATGCTTACAAGCAAGATTAGTCATTGACTCAGTTAATCTACATGCCCTGGATTAAACTATAACAAAAAAAAAAAAAAAAACTATGTTTCCCTACCTTCGATCCTTCCAGACACGATTGAAATCGAACTGTGGAATGACCAATGCTGCATTTAGAAGTCCAGCTACAGCAACTGCATTGCAGATCTATCCCAAAAAATAGCAAGCATCCAGAACAACTTATAAGCAAAAGAATGAGGTATATGATGGCAGCACATGGATAAACAAATTGCCTACACAATGGAACCTGAGCTATTTGATACTTATGTTTAGTAAAGATGGAAAGTCAGGGTTCAATATCCTTCTAATGAAACCAAAAGAAAATACAGAACATCCCTATATTTGAAACTTACATCGAACAGCAAAGATTAACAACATACCGCAGAGCGCTGCTGATTAAGGCCGCCATTTGCATTAACAATCAAGTATCCTGATGCGCCTGATGACTCTGCAATTGAACTAAAACAAATCAAATTCCCCTTGTAATTGAACATGGCCAGGGATAGCAAACCAATTCCCAAAACAGGGAGCTGAGCATAGACAGCTATGAAGAAACACTTCAGCTACAATTCTCAAGACTTAGAATGGGGCAAACATCTACCTCCAGTCCAAGCATAACGACGCTTCGTCGCCGGGATACTAGAATTTGGACAAGGTCTCTGCACCTTGAACCTCCTTTTGTACTGCCATACAGAAGCCAACTGCAACAAGCAACCTGCAGCATTATTCCTCAAAGCAAATTGATGGCCTTGGCTGCAGATACATGAACTAAGGGAGTGTCTTCTAAAAGAAATTGAAAATCGTCAACCATTTCTTTGGATGCTTCGAAATCATTTTCGCGAGCGATAGTCCCACTCAATCATCATGTCTACATCTTTTTTCTATGTGAGCTTTTCTTTTTTCCGGTTCTTTACCCATTCTCCATGGGACCACACAAGCGTCTTACCGTTGAATTGGGGAATTTCACTTTTCTCGCCGTTTCTCGACAACCAAACAGCAAGAAAACGAGACCTAAGAAAGCCGGGAAAACTCGATCTAACCTGAATTGCGGTGGAATTGTCGGCAGTGATATCCGGCCAGAGGCGTTCGAACAGCTCATGGCTCCGGTACACGGCGCCGGGGGCGCTGCCCCGGCCGAGAGCAAGGAGAGCGGTGGAGAAGGGCCCCACACACATGATCAGACCTGAAATGTAGAGAAGCGGGAGGAAGAGCAGGTACCGGAAATTCCAGCGGAGGAAGACGCCGGCGGCGGCGGGGAAGCTGTCTTTCCGGAACTTGGAGGAGCGGCTCCTGCGGCGGCCGAAGTGACGGGGAGGGGGAGGCGGCGGAGGAGAGGGAGGAGGACTGGGGGAGGAGTTGCTGTCTCCGTCACTGACGGCAGTACCGCCACCGCCACCGCCGCCGGCGGCGGCATTGTGGGATTTGGCTTTGGTGGCGGTGTTGATCGCCATGCAGGAGGAGGAGGAGGAGGACGGAAGGGAAGTATCTTGGAGCTTTTGGATGGTAGTGTTGTTGAGGAACGAGGAACTTTTCAAAAGTAAAGTTCGCAGTGCAGTGTGATCTTTTGTGTGGTGTGGTCACTAATCTTGGTCTGTAACTGAGGAGTGAGGAGGACTGAGTGAGTGACTGAATGAGTGGGAGAGAGAGAGAGAGAGAGAGTGCTTGGAATTGGATCGGCTCGGCTTGGTTTTTGGCTTCTGGCTCAATACTTGTCCGTTATTGCGACTATTTTTTTTTTTTTTTTTACAAAAGATAATCATATATTGATTGAAAATAGACACAGTTACATCCTGGAGAACAGTCAGGTCTGAAAATTAAACGAGCGACACATAAACGGGTACAAAGAAAGGGCATTTCTAGCCACCGCATGGGCTACCCTATTGTTCCTTCGTCCTATAAATCGCAAACTAAACCCCGGCTGATGTCCCATACATTGCCTGATTTCGTCCAAGATCACCCCAATCCTACTATCTCTAGTCTCAGCATGATTGACTTTATCGATGATGATCTTGGCATCGCCTTCAAAACGCACATCCTGGAACCCATTGGCCACACACCATAGGAGAGCTTCTCGGAGGTCAAGCGCCTCCACCACTAAAGGGTCATCAATAACCCCATACTGAACCCCTTGCGCTCGGAGGACCACCCTATGAGGATCAAGAAGCACAATTCCGCCCGCAGAGTGGGACCCAGCTCTCGTAGCCCCGTCCCACATACACACCAGCGAGGTACCACCCAGCACCCCTGGAGAATGGCCAGTAGGATTCGGTCCCAACTCTGCCCTATCTGCCGGTACTTGGGCCCATTCCTCACACTACTGATGAAACTGCCGCATCAAGGCCGGGAACCCAAATTGCTTGCCTTCAAAAATCACCCAATTGCGGGACTTCCAAATCCTCCAAAGAACTGCTACCACGGCCATGACCATACTCGGTTGATGGATTAAGGCAAACAGCCGTTTGAGGAACAAAGGAAAAGTGTGGTGAGGCAAGCCTTGGACTAGATATTCAAGTCCGGAATGGTCCCATAAAGCCCGAGCCACTGGACACTCCAAGAAAAGATGTTCCATAGTCTCCGATGCTTCCCAGCATACCGGGCAGCGAGGAAGAATAGGAACACTTCGTTCAATGAGACCCTCTGTGGTAGGTAGAATACGATGAAAAATTTGGCAAATGAACACCTTTAATTTTGGGGGAATATCAGCATCCCAAAGCCAAATCCAACTGGCTCTATCCATCCAACTAGTTGTAGCCTTCCAACAACCATTTCTACGTGCCAGGTCAACGGCCAAATGATAAGCAGATTTGACAGTGAGCACGCCATCCGACGTACCATGCCAGATCAGTCTATCCGCCATATTCTGCCGTGGAAGAGGAATAGCTTGAATCTTACGGCAAGTAACAGGGTCAAACCATTGCGACTCGTCACTGTGCTCCTGTAATTGTTGGTACAACAGGTATGAAGTGTCGCACCGCCTTTTTTATATGTTAGGCTAACCACGACCAGGACTCCAGGAGGTTAACAAACAAAAAAGTTGCTAAAGATTACTATAGTCGTTTAGTCAATGGAGCGGGTTTACTTAAATTATTCACATTCGTATCTAAATTTACATTTGTCTAATATCAACTCGGGGAAGGTTTTACAATTTCATTTTCATATCCGTGATTTTTGGTACTCGTGAGTAATACTCGCCTCGTATATCTAAGATTATCATACCTAAAATTTTACATGCAAATTTTCATTTATAACACTAAATGGACCTACGATATCATAAAGTCAACAAATAACTAATTATTCTTAATAAGACTCAAAGCATTTAATCCTAAAACATCCATTAATCCATAAGATAGAGTATATATAATATTTTATAAATCATTATTCTCTAACAGTAATACATCTACTAAGTAATAAATAACTAACATAATCTTGGTAATAAGGGGAAGTGAAAGAGTGAAGGAAGAATTGAGGAAAATGAATTAAGTTTTGGTTTCGATGGCCACTCAATTGCATTTCTACTATTAATTTTTTTTAGTTACCTCTAATTTCATTGACATGTTACAATTTGATCCATGTATTTTGTATATGTGAAGAAATGCTCTTGGTGGGGCGGATATGGGTCCATGGAGGCTAAAACCATAACCGCCCCATACCCATTAAACTTTTTGCAGGTTTTACCCATATTCTTCTCACACCCAATAAATGCAGGTTCCCCGCGTTGACTGTATTGGAGGTGGATGGATACCCCAGTATGAGTTTGACTGACACCTCAAATGCAACCTTGTTTATAGTAAATTAGTCATATAATAATTTTTTTGTTTAATAAATCTACTTCTGAATACTTCAATTTATGTTTTGAAATTTAATTTTTTTTATATTTGTCCATAGTAATTTGATACAAACATTATGATAAATTTGAACAAATTTTAGATACTTTTATGTTTTAGTTGTAATGGGCGCAAGTTACACTGAAATTTCCAAAATTTTGAAAAAGTTTCGAAAATACTTTTGTTTTAGTTGAAATGGAAGAATATTTCAAAGTTGTAATATAATTTTTGTCTTCAAATAGCAATTATAGAGATGAAAATTAGTATACCGAAAAGAGTTTCATTAGCTGACATGTACTCACATCATGGTATTGTTTTTTTTTTTTTTTTTGTATCGGTATTGATCTTTTTGTATTGGTATTGATCTTTATTGATATTAATCAATACCAATGAGTACCGAAATCAGTCTTGGATGAACCGGTCAGCTAAGTGATGGTATGGGTGACGTAACGTCACCACAGAATTCTCGCTAAATGATATATATGTTGATAGAGAATCAAATATACGATTTGATAGGATTATTTTGTATCACCACTATGTCGTCATACTACAATGACATACTCTTGAGTCTTGTCTTGCTCGGGTTAAATATGTAACGAGTCATTTTCTAATGTTTGTGAAGTAATTAAATCAAACAAATTTGGTTCGTGGGTAAAAGACGGCAATATGGTTTTACATAAAATATTATTCAGTACTTTATAATTTGGTGTCCATTTCGATTGGCCGGATCCCGCCCAACGTGGTGAGCTCGGTTTAGTTTGTTGGAATCGGTTAACGAAGTTGGTTGAAAGTTGATGCTATGATCAATTTAACCTCAATTAGCTTGGATTTATGAATAACGTCATTACATTTGTTCATACTTTTATAAACTATTTCGAATCTCATCTAATATATGGATAATAATATTCAACATTATACTAAAATAGTAGTTCGTACTTGGATCCAACATATAGTGAAAATTCAAACACACTCATATAACATTAATATTCAAACGTTGAACTTAGAATTCCAAAAATAAGATTACACGAAGCAGAAAAAAAGATGCAATACACAAATCGAATAAAAAATTGATGTTGGTGTGACCCCAACTCAAAAGCCTTATTGCGAGTCGACCTGTAACAGCGTGTGTAGCGCAACGCCCATTTCCCTCACCAGTTCAGGATCAATTCCGATCAACCCGTGAGTCGACCCGCTGATTGACATGACAAGTTCACAATCTTGCTCCCGACAGTGGAAGTAGCAGCTGGACTTCGAGTTCAAGCTGTGGGTTAAGTTGCAGCTGGCCTGCCCCTGACAAGTTATCCCATTATTCATATTTATGATGTGCTCAGAATGGCCACCACCACCACCACCTTCTTCACCCTTCCACTAAATCGTCCCCATTTCCAGCTACCTCTCCTCTTTCCTTTTATTACTCTCCTAACTTTGTTTCCTCATTATTAATTTTTCTTAAAGAGTTAAGACCACTTTGACTTGTTTTTCCCCCTTTTAATAACAGAAGGGAATACAGATGAACTCTAGGATTATTAGTTGAACTCATTTCGCCATTAAAAAAACAGTTAGAATCATATATGATTGTTACAAGATGGTACATTTAGTAAACGGTATATGATCTACGACCGAAACTCTCCCCCAACTCAAGTTCCAGTTACCAATTTGTGAACGATCGAGTTCAAAAAGGTGAATGTGCATTTATGGACATTGACTAGCACTATTCCGATTTCAGCCGAAAGTATTCTCTCCTCTCCTCCACTACTTGAGCCGAAGAACTTTGTGGGATTGGTGAGCCCATACGCGCATTAGTGAGCCGGCCGGCCGGCGTCTCCCTCTCTATAAATCGCCCACACTCCTCTCCTGGGGCTGGTACCTATCGGCTATCGCCAATTCACCATTCACCAACTGAAACGGACAGCAGCGTGCATTAATTTTGTCGGAGGAAGCATCTACTCATGTATAAGTTATAACAACATCCACCTCAATGCAATTACAAAAAAATTTAGAATTAAGTGGGATATATTTAATTTGATAAAATCTTTCTACTCTATGTGAGTAATTTATCATCAAAATCAGTGAAATGGATGTGACTTGAATGGAAGTCTCTCTCTTTTTTATTTCTAATTTTCTCGTGGAAGATTCTTGTTTCTATCATTTGGTATAAGAGCCAGAATGAACTCGTCAAACCTCTTGGATCCAATGTGGGATCGGTTGCAAAAGTGATTTGAACCATTCTATACATATTTTTGACCCCTTTTACTTTGTCATTTTGCTTGTATAGCATAGTCCTTGGAGCCGTTTTATGCTAAGTTTTGGAATGTTTCAAGCCATGGCAAGTGAAATGGGCGAAATGACTGAAAGTCGTACGAAAGAGATCGAAAACAGATCAAAATGATGAAAAGTGCATTGATGATGGTTTGGAAGCGATTATCACAGGCAACAATGTCAGTGGATGACGGGGTAGTGGCTGGGTCGAGGGAGAGGATGATGTCTTGGGAAGGGTTGGAGCCGGAGAGGAGGTCGGTGGCAAAGTCAGCCGAGGAATCAAAGTCAGCGGGAGAGGATGACTATCTGGCAGTATAAACATGAAACAAATTTTTTATCATGTGAAAATTAGGTGTGGGTCATTCCGGCGACCCGCAACTCACTCATCGTCCACTAGAATAAGTGCTTGTATAATATTAATCGAATCCACAAGTCATTCACGTCAATCACTCATCCTTGTTATTAGGATTATTTATAGACAACCCGATATAAAACGTAGATTAACCACTCTATGTGTCATTACTATATTATACATGCGTTTTGGTTTCTGTTAGCATTTTAATTTTTAATCATAGA